ATCGGAAAGAATAATTAAAATTAATTCACATTCAAATTTGAAAAGATCTGCTAGTGATTGGTGAGTTTTGAAAAAAATTTAATTCGTGTCACCGCATTTCAAAGCTTTTTAAAAAGTTTAAACTTTCATTTTGAAATTATAACACTTGATAAAAATTTATTCATTCAGTACGATGTTTACGAAATTTACAAATACCGGAGGTGGAGGAGGAATAGGAGGAGGAGGAGGAGGAGTGGCAGAAGAAAACGACGAAGAAAATGGTTATAATGCAAAACCGTATCCATCATCGACGAGACTTTCAAAAGTTCGTAATTGGATGAAAGATTTTAAACCCGTACCTGAAAAAAGAAGGAGCGTTATAACGGTTATTGGACAAACTCAGAGTAAACCTTACAGGTAAATTCGATGGGAAAAAAAATCCGCCATAATCCAAAACAACTAATAAATTTTTTTTTTTGAATGAATGAATTTCCAGCAAAATATTAAACGAAATACATCAAAGGAGAAAATTAGCAAAAGAATTGGATAAACACGCGCTTTGTAAAGCCATCATGGATTCATGTCCAAATCCGGAAACGAATTTCGAATCGAAAAATTTATCTGGAAAATTAAACGATTTCAATTTATTACACGATGATAATATTTATTCGATCGAAAGAAAAAAAAAAATTTATCATCGTCATGATAATAATGATGATGACATCATCATCGACAACGATAAAATCAAAATTCAAAATATTCGCAATAATAATAATAATACCAATACCAATACCACTAATAATAATAACGATTCCTTTTATAGATCAATTAAATCATCTCAAGTAAACGGTAAGGAAAAATTCCTTTTTTCTTTTATTCGTCGCGTCTTCTGCTTTATAATTATTATTATTATTATTATTATAGAAAAATTAAGAAAAAGAACGGAAATGATACCGGAAAGAGATTCATCGAGTTGTCAATTGGTTAAACAACGTAATAACAGATTAAAACGTACAAATAAAAAATTAGGAGTCGATTTAAAAGAAAATATTGTTATTAATAATAAAGGTAAATAAAAACAAACATGCGTTGTTGTTGTTTGTTGTTTGTTGTTGCACGATCGAGTATCGATGTAAATGAAAATTTAATTAATTTAAATCGAAAAATCGCCTCGGGAAAAATAAATATTATTGTTATGATAAATACCTCGTACGAACGGGTAATAATAACCTTTTAAAACAAACGTAATTAATAATAATAATAATGATGATGATGATGATAATAATAATAAAATGTAAGTAGTTCATTGTCTTTGTACCGTAATTTAATAATAATTAAATCTTTTGGTTGTTTCAGAAAATTCAGATTCGGAATATACAAAAATACCCGGAGCGGTCCTTTTGTCTGTTTTTGTATTACTTTTGGCTTTACTTTTGTTCTTTTATTATTATAATTACACATTCAAACCATTATCATCATTATCATCATCATCATCATCATCGTCATCGATATTTTCATTACGTAATTTTATTAAACCTAAAACTAAAGTTTGGTATAAAAGATTATTATTATTTTAATTATAAATAAATTATTAAATTAATTTTTTTTCTTTTTCCTTTTTTTTTTCCTTTGATCGAGAAAAAAAAGAAAATTTAGTTAGGAAGAAATCACGTGACAAATCAAATTACAAATTTATTTATTTATTTATTATTATTATTAATGAAAAAAAATAATTCGGGAAAAGTCATAAATTTAAATTTTTTTTCCCTTTTTTCCTTCTCTTTTTCCCTCCGTTTTTCCCTCCGTTTTCTTCTTCTTATTCTTTTACATAAAAAAAAATTAATTTTAAAAAGAAAAAGAAAAAAGTCATAAATTTTTTATTCTTAACAAAAATATCAAAAACAGAAAAACAAAAAAAAAAAGAAAAAGGAAAATGTGAAAAATGAAAGAAAGAAAGGAAAAGCGCGCGCGCGCTCAAAAAAAAAAAGAAAATGGCGGCGGATTCGTTTTTCGGTTTGAAAAAAAAATAATATGAAACGTGGAATAAGAAAGAAATATTTTAAAACTATGTAATAGTTTTTAAATAAAATAAAGTTTTCCTTTTAAATTTTAATATGAAGAAATCAAAAGTTTTTTGCATCCGACAGCGTAAAAACAAACTTTATTTATATATATGTATATATATATATAAAATTTAAACAATTTACAAATGCCATAAAAGATATTGCGGTGGAATGTTTTTTAATTTTTAAACATGGCGGAAAAACCGGTTGTTGAAAACCCTCCCCTTCCCCCTATCGCTCCTCCTATACCCCCAAACATCTTGCCATTCGAATATCTCTTCTTATTATTATTATTTAAAATTTTATGTTTGTTTCCTATCTTCGAATCCAGAAAAAAAATGGCGTCATTCGTCAAATTCAAACGATTACATTTTCCCGCCTTTTTTTAAAAAATTTAATTTACTATTAAAATTTTTCCTAGAATGTTTCTTTAAGGAAAAACATCAAAAAAGTCACAAAAAAGCAATTCAAAATAAATAATAATTATTATTAATTAATTAATTATCAAAATATATCTCTCTCTCTCTCTCTTTATCTTTCTCTCCCTCTCTCTCTCTATCTCTCTCTCTTTCTTTTTCGGACCGAATAATTTTAATAAGATTTAAATTTAATACGTTAAATTTAACTATCTTTCTTTCTTTTTCTGTAAATTACGCGAAGAAGAAGAAGAAGAAAAAAAAAATTACGAATTTCGAATGCCGCCAACCTTTCCGCCATTTTGTTTTGTTTTTTTTTATCCTCCGTTTCGTAATTAATTATTTAAATTTGTTTTGTTTAGCAAAACTCTCGGGGTCAATTATTATTATTAATATTATTATTTTTTTTTTTATAATAAAATAAAATTTTCTCTCTTTGTGTGTGTGTGTCCACCGATCCGACATTCTGAAACCACGTTTTTTTTTTTTTGTAATCACGACACCCGTGAGGTTTAATTACCCCTGATTATGTTGTTTTAAATCGATTCAAATTTTATTTATTATTATTATTATTATTATTATTATTATTATTATTATTATTATTATTATTATTATTATTATTATTATTATTATTATTTATCACCATTAAATGGAGTGATGTGATGGGGGTAGGGAGTGAGAGGGGTGGGGGTAGTAATGAGGAGATTAATTTATAATAATAATAATAAAAAACAAAAAACGTTAAATAATAAAATCGTAGGAATTTTTTTTTTTTTATTGTCTCTCACAAAGGAAACGAAGGAAACGTTTATAATAATAATGATAAACTAAAAGCAATTTATCTTCTATATGTTTATGTCGAAACAAGGGAGGGGAAAAAGGAAAAAAAGGATGATAATCAATGGAAAAAAAATTTAAAAAAAAAAAACAACATGCTTATGCCTAAAAAATATAAAAAAATTATTTTCCAGCTTACGGCGATCGAAAATAAAATAAAATAAAAACATAAAGAAAAGAAACGGAAAAAAAGGTAGAAAAAAAAAGGAAGAAAAAAAAGGAATGAAAAAAAGGAATGAAAAAAAAAAAAATTGCCCCCGAGACAAGGACCATCGATAGTAATGGAATATAATTTATTATAAAATAACTTTTGATCAAGAAAATAAATATTGTATTTCCTCCCATCCCTCTATCTCCCTGTTCCTCCTCCCTCCCCCAACCCTCGTTTCGCCTAACATATATATTTATAAAAAATATGTATTTATCGACGGTTTAATACCCTTGGAAAACATATTATTATTATCATCATTTTGAATTTTTTAAACGTTGAAAATTTCATAAAGTTTTCCTTCTTACATACACGAGTAAAAAAAAAAATAAACGAACGAAATTTTTTTTATACACGTGTATGCGACATTATTTAAATTTTAAATTTAGTTATTATTATTATCATGAGGGGAAAAAATAAATTTATTGCGATAATAATAATTTATTATTTAACCTATATATATATAAAAAAAAAAAAATTTCTGGAACAAAAACTAAATAGCAAAGCTTTAAATTAAACTTATCTAATTAGGTCAAAATTTGCAGTAATGTTTTTTTTTTTAAGGTTCATTACCTATTTTGGCAATGAAAAGGCTTTTGTTTTTCCGGCGAGGGGGAGAAGGGAAAGGTTTAAAGATTCAGAAAGTGTAAAATAAATGGATAGACAAATTTACTTAAATACGAAAATAAATTTTTTTTAAAAAACTTTTCCCCGTTTAAAAAAAAATTTTTTTTCGGGTAGGATTTTTAACAGTAAAAAAACGTAATAATAAATTATCAAAATAACATTTGTTGCTAAACAACAACAACAACAACAAACGGTCGAAAGATAATAAAAAAAAAAAAAAATGTTAACAAATACAAACAGTGGTCGGTCATTAAAATAAATAAATCAAACAAAAAAAAAAAAAATTGTTTTTTTTTTTTTTATCAAAACCGTCAAAAACGGTTTCGCATATATGCGAAAAGGTCAAAAATAATAATAATAATAATAATAAAGATGTGTGGCGGTTGAAAAACCGGTTTTCAGTTCCGCCGAACGATTTTCCTTTTCCTCTTCCGTTAACAAAAAAAAAAAAAAAAAAACATTAAAACCAGTCATCACACCAGATATTTTTTTTTTTTTAAATGCCGACGCGAAAAAAGGGGTTGCAAAAAAAAAGCGTCACGCGCTTTTTTTTTTTTGCAAACAAAAAAACCCGCTTTTTTTAAATCGTTTGTTTGTTTGTTTGTTTTCTGCTTCCCCAACCCTCACCCCCTTCCCCATTTTTTTTTTAATTCGAAATTAATAAAAAATAATTTTATTTATTTAAAAAAAAATTTTAATTTTTTTTTTTTTTTTTCAATTAATTTACGTCAAGAAGTAGAAAAAGAAAAAATTAACGATAAAAAAAAAACAAAAACCGGAAATGACGAAATAAAAATAAAATAAAATGATAATATATGTAAATTTTATTTTTTATTTTTATAAAACATCTTTGTAAAAACGACGTACGTAACGATTATTATTATTATTATTAAATTTTTTCAAAAAAAAAAAAAAAGAAAAAAGGAAAAACAAACAAAAAAAAATTTAATTTCGAATGTACGAATCGAATGTTTAATTTTTTGTTGTTGTTGTTGTTGCTGTTGCTGCTGTTTGTTAGTTTTCCCAGATTGTCACGAAAAAGGAGGATTTTATTGATTTTATCGTAATAATTTTACGATATTATTAATAAATAAAAAAAAATTTCAATAAGATTTTTAACGAAATGCGTAGAATTTCATTATTATTATTAATATTTACGATTTTTATTTTAAATTAATTAATAACCGGAAACAAAAAAAAATTTACTTACTTATTTATTTTACAAAGAATAATTTTTTTGTTGTTTTTTTTGTTGTTGGTGGTGGTGGTGGATTCATTTTTTACGATTTTGTTTTTACCCACAATCATCTCATAAAGAATGTATGAAGTGATAAGGAAAATATAAGAAACAGTGAAAATCTTTTTCCAATGTTTTCACAATTGCCATGTACGGCTGCCGGTAATTCACCTGAAAAAAAAAAATTCATTAAATTATTATTATTAATATTATTAATAAATAAGAAAATTCAATTTTTTAATTATTAAAAAGTATTAATCGTTTTTTTTTTATTTATTAATTTTCATTCATTTCCGGTCGTTCGAGCTGAAATTTTTTAAGGCTTTTCATTTTGTATTAAACTCTAATCGGAGATTAAAGAAAAAAATTTTTTTTTTTTTTTTTTATTACTAATAGAAGCGTAATAATAAATAAAATTACATTGAGGTGAAAAATTATTATTATTATCACTTTTGAACGTCACGTGATTTTAAAATACTCGTCGGAGTTTTAAATTCATTCATTCAATCCAGGTTTCTACCCGATTCGAATGATAAAGAAGAATTCTGTAGGACGTGGGCGGCCTTGTACGGTTTCTCTTCTTTTAAATTCTAAAAAATTTTCTTTGAATTTTCTTTTGATGAATGAGGAGGCGTGGCTCCCAGTGCCCCCCTCCCCCGGTTATTTCAATTTTCAATCTTTTACCCGCTTCTTTGGCTCTCTGGTGGCTTTTTCCGACGGTACGGGTATTTCAGTCAGCTTGTACAATTTTTTCGCCTTATGCCTCAGGTTGATATCCGGTTTGTTGGCTGGCACATTTCCGTCGGTGTGGATTTCTTGGTCGTTCAGAACCGTGCATGTACTCACTGTCGTAACCGGGGTAAATGAAGATATTTACAGATTTTGTTGTGCCCCTGTAGATGTTCATGTTTTGCCAATATCGGACAACCGGAAGTTAAATAGTCGTTGGTTTCCCACTGGCGAATTCGTATTCATCATCTTGGTGTCGTAAGTGAAAAGCTGTTATTCTTCCGGTTCATTTTTTTTATCCTCTTCATTTTGCTCTTCTTAGTATTCCTTTTTTCGTGATTTTTTCCTCCATTACCACTACTTGAGTTAAGATGGGACGGTGCTGTTGATGGGATTCCTTGTATTTTCCCATCCCGATTATGTCATTCTGGTACGTCGCTTCTATTTGGCACGATCCTCTTCCTCCTTCTTTCTCACTGACGTACAATTTATCCACATGAACTTTTGAAGATTACAACGCACCATTCATTATCATTATTTTTATTATTATTATTATATTCATCATCAACATTAAAAAATTGATTTATTGAAAATTTAAATATTTACGAAGATATAATTACAAATTAATAATAATAATAATAATAATAATAGAATTTATCGATAATTAAATTTACGGTTGTGGGAAAAAGAAAAAAAAATTTACTTTTTCTTATTTTAATTAATTAATTAATTTTTTTAAAAACCTAGAATCGTCGTTGTTGTTTATTACGAGTAAGAAAAATTATCATTATCATTATTATTATTATTATTATTATTATTATTATTATTATTTTTAATATTAAAAATGAATTTTTTTTTAACCGTTATTTTTTGTAAAAGGTCAAGTGCGTACTTTAGATATCAAAACAAACAAAAAGAAAAAACGTAAATTTTTTTTTAAAAAATAAAACAAACATCAAAAATTAATTAAAAAATAAAAAAACAACAAAAACAAACAACAACAACAATAATCTCATCGAAAAACAAAAAAAAATTATTTTCTTTGTTAACATCATTTTTTTTATTGCTTATTTGCCCTTTTCAAATTTTTCTTTTTCTTTTTAAACAATTGAAATTATTAATAAATTTATTAAATGAAAAAAAAAATCAAATTAATATATATATATATATATATATATATATATATATATATATATATATATATAATAAAATCAATCTTTTTTAAATAGCTCTCAACGGATGATGATAATAATAATAATAATAATAATAATAATAATAATATAGATAATTTTATATAAAAAAACCTCAGGTGTACTCACGACAATAACAAAGCATTTCAATTCCATTGTTTAATATAAATTATTTATATTATTTAATCCTCTCCATGTTTTTTTTTTTTTAAATAAAATATACTGTTACGTAAAACAAACGTGGGCGTAAAGTTCTTTTTATAAATTGAAAATGTAAAAAAAGGAAAAGTTAAATAAAAAAAAAATTTAATTATTTAAACAATATTTCGATTGGGATAAAAAAATAGGAAAAACCTACGTCGTCATCGTCGTCGTACGCACAACATTATAAATTATTATAATTATTATAATTATTATTATTATTCCAAATACGATATTATAAATATAAATTCGTAAATGAGAAAATTTCAAATTTCGTAAGATTTTCATTAACAGGAAAATCACACCAACAACGATGGAGGAGGAGGAAAAACAAAAAGCATTTTTAAAGATTCCCCCCCTTAAAAGGGATAAAATTTTTTTTTTACAGGAGTAATCAATTGATAATTTATCAACAGTTTTTTTTTGATTTTGACCAATCACACAATTTCAGACGAAATGAAAATCGATATCGAGAAAAGTCGATGCGGGAAAAAAAAAAATTTTTTTTTACGATAGATTCGTCGATCGTTTTCCGGGGAACGGGAGGGGGAAGGGAAGAAGGGGATTTTAAAAATTTATTATTTATTTATATTTTTAAATAAATATATATTTACCGTTTAATATATGTACGGCCACAAGAGCCGATGCTAAATCCCCGACAGCGCACGTATAATTTCCCGAATGAATCCTTTCCGCAAGAGAAATTTTTAACGTGGCAATTACCGTTGCTTGGCCAAGGCTGTGGTTGTAACTATAATTAAAATTAATTAGTAAATTTTTATGAATACTCCTGTAATAATAATAATGATAATAATAATGATAATAATAACAATAATATTAATTCTTACCGTAATAATAAAAAAAAAAAATTTTTTTTTTTTTTTTTTTTTTTAAGGCATTTAAAATTTTTTTTTTATTCATTATTACGGTAAGAATTAATATTATTATTATTATTATTATTATTATTATTATTATTATTATTATTATTATTATTATTATTA